AAGCCCTGAAGTCGTACCTGAAGACAAACACACAAACACAGACACAAAACAAAGAGTTAAGACTCAGCAAATCAGCACACACACAAGCAGTGCGTCACTGTATGTACATTAAATCAATACAGAACATGCGCTCTAGCAGTCTCACGCACACAAGCATAAAAATAAATCAGTAGTTGCCAACACATCAGAACACAGACAAACCAGAAAAATGCTCGACACAAATTCTCTCTAGCGTCTCTCCTTTCACGAGCCTTTTGCATCAGTAATGTGATAGAGCTGCAGCTGTCGAACGCACATATTTTGACACACATTTGTTCACTGAAATGCAGAAATGTGTGTGGAATTGTGCATAAAATTGTACAATCAAATGGGAACTCTCAGTAGGAAAGCAATACCAAATAGATGTATATATATATATACATATATATATATATATGTGCCTATAGAAGGTTGTTGTCTTCTGAGGTAAATAACCCTCAGTGTGTTTGTTTTCTGATAGCAAAAAGGTGGATCAGCTTCGTTGGTGACTTGACAGACAGTTATATCACTGCACTAGGAACTCAACTAAAGCTTAATTACATTATCGTTTTAATCTGCCAATTAATATATGGATTCTTTGATGAAGTTCTTGGTCTATAACACATCAGAAACACTTCCCACGACCAAGATGACATCTTGTTTTGTCTGACCCCAAGATAATCATCATCAAGATAAATGTTCACATTTCAAATGCTGGTATTTTGCTGAATAAATGGCTTTAATGATTCAGTGTTTTATAAATGGTTGCTGACTAATCATCTTTGAACTGATCGGCTAACCTTTACAGGCTAACCTTTACAGTATCTTTTTTTTATATATATATTCAAGTCAAACTGGTGGAAAACACCCACATCTGCTGACATTTAAACATAGCAGAAGCCATTTCTAAAGGAAAAACAGATGAATAGTTAATAACAAGGAGGAACACTTCTAACAGTTTCTTTAATTTTAACTGCCAAACCCAGAAGCCCAGAATCCAAGCATACCAGTAGCTGTTTTGTTTTTGTCCTCCCACAGTCACAGGTGTGTTACTCACTAGCCTACAGTAAACTGCCTGTTGCTGGGTGATTACAAAGATGCAGTGATGAAGGAAATGAAGGAAAGCTTGTTCTTCTATTAAAGTCCTCAGTGTCCAAACTACAACCCTGAGCCTCTTCTGTTTTTAAGCCTTCTTGACATACAGTACATCACCATTCAGAAACCCTAATTATACACACTTTATAATTAGAGCAACCTCATTATGCAACCTGACCTGTCCCAGGCTGTCTGCACCCCCAGCCTCTCCTCTCGTTTTGTTTTTGACACAGGCCTACAGAAACTACTGTAAATGCCTCCTCCTCCTCCTCCTCCTCCTCCTCCTGCTCTCTGCAGCGAGCAACCTGAGATGCTGTGTATTCCGCCTGCCGGAGCCGCGACTAGCAGCGGCTAGAAAATGCTTAATATCAGTCCCCTCTAGTCGCTGGTGACTTAACCGGACACCGCGCTCACCTCGCCGGGTTGTGTCAGCCGCAGGCTCCGTGTTTTTGTCCGCTGAGCGCTCGGACTGAGCGGCGGCTTTTGTTGCATAGGTCCTCCGCTGCTCCTGCAACTGAAGCCAGGGCTTTAAATACGCCTTTAAAGGAATATCTGTCGGAAGAAGAGACGTAGCGCTGGCTTCCGCCGACGTCACAGCTGATTTGCATAAAGAGGCAGGGCCGTGGCGGTGGTATACAAAGAAGCCAAGAGGCTGACTTTTTAAAGGGCAATACCGTAAAACCTTTGTCAGTGGTAGATGTTTACTCAAGGACACATTTTAGTACACGTGCTTTACTTGAATCTTTCCATTTCATTCTTCGTAATGCTTCTATTCGTCTACATTTCAAGGAGAAATAATACAATTTTTAACACACAATTTATCTGAGAGCTACAGGGTGGGTTCAGGCAAAGCTACCACCGAAGGCAGGCAATGACCCGAAACCTTAGGTTTATTATATATCATTTGTGCCTACATAACTTTATTAATCACTAGATTGTCAGAAATTTAGTACAATATCATATATGTTGGCATCTTGTAGCCCGTCTTCTAGAGAAAAATTTAATTTTAAGACCAAATTTGTTTTAGCTCATTTGTTGTAAACTTTTGTTTTATCAATTTAACAATTAACAATTGCTTCTTTTGTTTCTGTGTGATGTTAATCCACAGCATCATTCCATCACAGGAAAACTGTAAGGCTGCAACCATGTACTTTCATTACCAAAATATCTGATCATTAATGCATTCAGTTACTTTCATTAGGGCACAGTGGTCATAGTGTACAATGCAATATTTGATGTATTTTGTTGGTTTGAATACTATTTACTAAACTCTGAAAAATACAATACATTCATGAGACTTTGTAAAACAATCACCAAGAGACTCCAATTAAACCATGCAAAAAATGTTCAACCCTATAACTTTTAATGCTTTTATTGCGGAAATCATTTGTTGCTCCAGTTAGTTTTTTCAATCAATTGTTAAATACTGAAATTTAAGCTTGCTTTTAATTTCAGACAATACTGCTAATTCTCTGTAGAAGGTGACAGCAAAAGATGGGATTGTTTGCTTAAGTGTGTGTATGTTGGGGGCCTGAAACAATTTGTGGTTCACTGTTTTAGTTGATGTTGTGTTGGAACTTGAGTTCATTCCTGGCCTCTGCAGTTAACAAGATTCAATGCTGAAATAAACCTGTGCTTCAAGCTGTGACAGATGTCTGTTGAGTTCCTAACTCTCTGGGTGATGTTCTCTGCCTCCGAGGGTAAAAACACACCTGACTTGATCTTCCAGAGTTTCTCTGCAAGCCAGGTCTTGAATAATATAAAGGCTATAGTTTTTGCATGCAATGCTGAGTTACCTTCAAATTAGCAAGAAAAAGAGCACATGAATATTGCAAAACTGCTTTTAAAGATTTAATAACTGAGAGGTGTTGACATCCAGACTGATGACATGTTTTGGCTTCTGACGCCCCATTTGATGGGGAACTGATACCAGAACACAGACGTGAATAGATAATAAATGGGTGATGTGAGAAGCGACAGAGAAAGGAATGTTTCCGGGTGTGGTAAAAATAACTCTTGTAAATTCAGTGTCAGTCACCTGAGAAGATGCAAACAAAACTTGTGCCATCGTGTTAGGTGAAGGATGGAGACATTTCCAGTAGCTCACAGCAAAAAAAAGGTGGCAGAGCGGTGTAGCCATCAAGGGAGGTGCAGGATTGCTCACAGTGACCTGGACACACCTGTTTTTCTGAATGTAAGTAGGCAGACTTAAAATATTATTACAAAATCACCATCATCATCTTTGACATGACTGATGTGCAACTCTCAAAATATCAGTCATTTAAATGTAATGCTCTCTGTAATTTGTCTTGTCTTGCATGTTGTGGTGGTTTTTTTTTTTAACATGCATGAACACAAAACCATTACCATATAATAAGAGAGTAAATCTATGTACATTTGTCAATGACACCTGAGCGGGATAAATCTGTGTTGCAGGGATGTAACCTGTGAGTGAAAGACTAAATTCAGCAATGAATTCATCCAATCTAAAAATGTATAAATGAGCCTATAGTGATCTTCATTACACTGAACATGGGCAGTGAAGTACATTTTGGCTTCGTGGATGTGGACAAGACCAAAACAGAACTGTGTTAAAACAACAAAAAATGGCGTGTGTTGGTGTTGGCATGTTGAGAATATGAAATACAATCCAGGAAGTCCAGTTTGAGTGACAGCTTCTGAGTCTGTTTTTTAGTTTCTTAGACAAGAAACACTGCACAGCAGTTAGTTATACTACCAAAAACGATGTTACAACTCAACACAAGTGTTTCATCTTTTACTGCCTTATAAACAGCTGAAAAATGGGCTTCACGTTACACAATGATCAACCAGTAATGTGAGCTTGCATGAATTTGATTGGCCAACCCTAATCCTGCATACACCATCCTGCAGCCATAAATACTAATGTGTATTAAGTGTGCTGTTATCTTCAATCTGAGTAATGATTGCTAAAAATATGAATTTTGTGAGTTGTGTTACATCTTTACAGTAGCACAGACAGCGTGGAGAAGTCAAAAAGTCGAGAGATGAAGTAAATTATTGGTTTTGATCTTTTCATGGGATTTGTTGAATTACATAAATTACCCTTTAATAACACAGATGTTCTCCATCAGTATATAACTTATGTCATAAGGCTGCCCCCTCCTGACAACCAAAAAACACACTCATCTTTTAGTCTTTTGTTGTTTTTTCTCAGCCACCACAAAGAGTCAGGAATAGAACTTAAGCACCACAGGCTGCACCAGCTGCTACGGTGCTAAGCTAAGAGGAATTTCTATGGTTTTTCCTCATCGCATTGCACTCCAGAGCACCCTGCCTTCTTTAACTAGAGCTCCTGTTCTGACACTGCTGAGTTTTTCAAGGCTGGTTTTAAGCTGCAGCACAAATGGCAATTGTGTTTTTTCCCCTTAAATGTAGCCTTCATTTCCTGTATGTAAAAATTTGTGGATTAGAGGAAACTGATTAAGAGCTGCATGAGAGACAGAAAACAACTTATCTTCCCCTGTAGACAGGGCACGAGTGGACCTGCACGCTGAGAGATTAACCGCTGCTTATGGCTTTATGTAAACAAAACAATGTCCAGCACAGAGGATGCACACAGCCATTTACACAAATACAACTGCACACAAGTTCACATCCACATACACACACAATATTTGATGCACAATAAGAGGGTGTCTGAGTGGAGCTTTGATGTAAAAGTGCCTTGACTGGCTTTCACTGGGAGGTCAGAGGTCATTCACACAGCGGCACCCCTGCAGGGACTTAGTGTACTTCTCAAGGACACTACTGCAGGGTGGACCCAGTCTGTTCTAGCTTTATCTTATAACTGCATTACCACTATACCACTCTGCTGCCCAAGCGGAGGAAGCAGGAGTTCAACAGCATGGAGTTACTTTTATATTGTGGAGCTGAATTAGCTAGTTGATTAACTGATTGGTTAATTGACAGAAAATAACTGGCAAATATGTTTCATCTTTTCAAATGTGATGATTTGCTGCTTTTCTTTCTTATATATGAATATTTAATGAAATAACTTAGGGGGTTTGGATTGATGTACAAGGACTAAGGGTGCAATCACCCTGAGCTCTTGAAAATCATTATGGGCATTCCTCACTATTTTCTAACATCAATTGACAAACGGTTGATTGATTAGCTGAGAATATAATCAGTAGATTGTTTGATAATGAAAATAATTGTTAGTTGCAGTCCTATAATGTAGATTTTATGAGTTGTGATTTGTGAAACTGAACTTCATAAACTCTTGAGTCAGGCTTGCCCCCACTTTAACTTGTCTTGATATCAAACAGTGCCCTCTTCTGGTAAGCTCAAAGAGGTGCATTATATTATTATTTTGCTTACATTGATCTTTAGATGCAAAGATCAATGACTTTGTCACATTGTAACTTTATAAAAAGCTCTACCTGAATTTATCACACAGAGCAGTGGTTCACAACCTTTTTGGCTTCTGATCTCTCAGAATCGATCTCTATCAAGTGAAGTAATATGTGCTGACCCGTCTTCATCAGTTGCATATGATGAGTAATTTTTTTGTTTTGTGCTGTTTTTTTTTCAGTTTTATGTGAATCATTTTTAATGAAGTAAACATTTTTGGTAATTCACAAGAAGAAAAGCAAAGATCAGAGGAACACGTGAATATATGTTTATAATTTGGTGTAGGAATTATTTTCTTCTTTCCTGTACCGTGAGTTCTCTCGTGACTACAGGTTGAAAACCGCTGGCACAGAAAGTAACTTGAAACTTTCTCCTGTTGAAAATAAAGACAAACTCAAGACTTCCTTTAAAAACTGTATTAAATTTATTAATAATATATTGTGTAGTTTCATATGAAATTTTACAAAAAGTCAGTGAAAAAAACATATAAATACAATAGTTGAGTTGTTGCATTGTCATCACTTAAATTTAAAAAGGAAATATGTATCATATTTATATTCACCAGTTATATACACTGTATAAATACAATAATAAAAAATTTGTTGAACCTTTGATTGAACCTCAGGTGACATTGGCTCCTAAATGTCATTTTTTTGTTCAGATGATAATGTTTTGTGAAAAATGGGTTCTAATTTTTTTAAGAGTCACAGAAATTTGACACGTTGTTGAGTAAATGTGTAAATGTAAAAGACTGGAAAAGTAAAAGGTAAGAAAACTTAATGTTCTCCACATTTGAAGAATCTATTACAACTCAGTATGTATGGTTTTACTTTGTTAATACAAATAACACTATTGTAAAAATATCCATAAAAATGTACAGAACACAAATTCCTACATATTATAAATAGATTTTTAACATATGTTGGGTATGTTATGGCTTGGTCTTTTGCCTCCCTCCTCTTATAAATAACTAAATGCTTAATATGCATAAGGCATGTTATAGCCAGGAACTTGTACTTGCTTGTTGGTTGGTTTTTTTTTACTAGGATCGACAGCTTGTGTACAATAACAGAAACCTTCCTTGTTAAAAGCAACTGGTCTGTAACAAAGATAAAACTGTACTTGTAAAGAAATAAATAAAGAAAAATGTAGAAACTTTGTCTGACAATGAGGTAAGTATTTTGCTTTTATGGGGTTAGTCCTTATTTTCTGTTTTTAATTACTGAAAAATTCCAGTTGTGGCGGGACTTTCTTGAGCTGCTGTGGAACACACCTCTCTGTACATCACATGTGAGTGGTATCTCACGAGTTTGAGTCCAGCTCCCAACTTTGTATCTTCTTTCACCACATTTCCCATCACTCTCTACTGCACGTTGTCCATTAAAGCATATCTTCCATCAAAACAAACTCTCCTCAGGTCTTTCCCACAGCGATAGCGAGCAGGAGTTTTGTTTTCAGGGTAGTTTGAGCTGTAGAGATTTGCCTCAAATACACAGTTGGTGGCAAGGCTCAGTCACATGATGTTCCCACACAACACTAGTGAGATTAAACTTACAATAAACAGGGAACAGCAATACAAAAAGGCATGGTATGACTATATTATAAATACTAAAAATGTTTAGAACTTTGGATTAAAAAGAAATATCCAACAGGACTTTCACCCACTTTTCTTTTTTTCAGTCTTCATTTGGTCCTCATATTCCCAAAAAATAACATGTCAGTACTGTCACTGTTTCGAACTGCTAACCACCTTTACATAGCATCATAGCAGTATAAGTTATGTAAACTTGCATCGCATGACGGACATGTGATTACATGTAATCTCTGCGAGTTTGTGAATTTGATTCCCCTCCCTTTAATCTGCTTTCCAAACACAGAGCTTCACTCTTTCTCCCACAGATCCAAAACCTGGGCTCCTCCTGGAACAGTTTCATCAGAGTTACTTTGTCCATTTCCAGCCAGTAAACCTCTCTACTCCACCTTCCAGATGGCGATCTTTCCGTCATGTTTGCCAGCGCCACTGAGGATGTAGCGATCCTCGGCGGAGCACAGCGCCGTCACCTTGTCGTTGTGGCCGTGGAGCTCCTTAAGTACCAGGTGGCGTTCTGTGTCCAGGATGTAAATCTTCCCTTTGGTAGAACTGCGGCCCACGCCACCAACCCACACCTGGAGAGAAGGTTTTATTTCATGTCGCTGCCAATATACAGTATATAAGAATAAGAATAAGAATTTGTGTGTGGTTTGTGTATTAAGTTATGTGTGTTCTCTGTTTGTGCATGAGCAGTGTATACTAACCTGATTTTTGACTTTAATCATGCAGTAACATCCGGTGCAGTCCTGCAGCGTCACGCGGTCAAATGGTTTGGTAGGGTCCTTAGTATGCCAAATACACACTTCTCCTGAGTCTACACACACACTCCACAGCTCTTCCCTCTGACACACACAACCAAAAACATACCCAAGAATAGGGTCACACTCAAATATAAGTCACTTAAATTGAAAAAAACTAAACAAAAAAAAAAAAAACACACAAATACAGAAACAGAAAGGTAAAGATAAACATGTATAGAGTTGTGTGTGTGGTACCTCAGGTAACAGCAGTATAGAGCTGAATGTAGCTATGGATCCTTTGTGCTGCTCTGGTAGATTCAGACGATGTTTCAATGAACCGTTCCTCCACACCTCCATTATACTGTCCTTGGAACCTGGAGAGAGAGAGAGACAGAGAGATTATTTGGTTCCTACTCTCAACTCTCAGCTTCCCAGTTTAACGCTTGTGTAAATGGGAGAAACTTACAGCACCACAGCGTGCCGTTCCAGCTGTTGACAGACTGAAGACAATCGCAGGAGAGGCGAAAGTGCCTCCTCACCTGAGTGAGAAACAGAAATCACAATTTATGAAAAATAAGTCTGCGAATTTTCATTTAACTGAAATAATAGAAAGGGGCAAAGAGGAGTTAGTGAGAAGCAGCTCTAACCAGTGTTGATACTTGAACTAGCCAAACTAAATTACTTCTAAAGCTGCATATAGGACGCTGCTTCACACTGTCCCCACTCTAACAAATCGTTAGTTTAAAACTGACCTGTAGTGTGGATATGTCCCACACCATCACGGTTCCCTCTGTACTGCAGGAGTATGCCACCTTCTGGCTGAAGAACAAAGTACACTGGTAAGATTTCTGTACATTTGAACACTTTGAACACATGTCACTTTGATCCAGAGTTGATTCACACATACATCTCTGGCAGAATATTAATCGCACACATCATTTACAACCAACATGTCATTTACTTTCATGGCAGTGATGGACGATAAGGCGTCCCGAAAAACAAAGCAGAGCCATTTCCTCCATCGAGTGCAACATTTACTCACAGTATCAGGAGGGGGTGCATTATGGTAGATAGGCAATAGCCACTTACCCAAGAGAAAACAGAGGCTGTATGTAAATCATCATCCATTAAAAATGTTTGTTGTCAGTTTAACCCCTAGTTAAGTTAGTTTAAATAAATGCTGTTGCTATGGTTACCCCGCAGTCTAACATGACTTGACCTGTGATTTTTACTGATGTGTTGACTGGAACGAGATTTGAGGTGTCTCGTTACACAGTGTCTACATTACACATCTGCCAGTCATATATAATGTTTTTATACTGTATATAGTTCAAACTGTAAAGAGTGGACATGGTCAAATATTGCATGTCAACGTCAGGTCCATTCATACGGACATTTTATGACAGAATATGATTCATATTTTTGGCTGTCAGGCTGGTTCTACATATACTGACTGTATGTGTGTGTGTTACCTGTATTTGTCTGTGTCAAGTGCCAGACCGGTGACCTCCGCCCTGTGCTCAGTCAGCTGTCTGTTACACACCATGGCCACTATACTGATGATGTAGATAACTGAGTCCTCAGAACCCATCCACACCTGATCCTTGTCAACACCCAGCATGCAGTTCTGAAACGGAGAGACACATTACTGATCAGGAGTCACATGGCTGCGGAGAAGGGCAAACCAAAGTGTCCAGAGATGGAGGAAAAGTAGTGGTTTAAATACCAAATACAGAAACATTAGGGGCCGATTTCTGGATGAATAACAGGAAATCTGAGGTAAATTTTACATTAGTCACACTAGTTTCCTTTAGAACAAGGTACAGTAAATGATTAGCTGGTGTAATAAGTCTAATTGCTTTGCCCAATTGGATGTGTAAATAAAAAGTAAATAAGGCAGTAAAAGCTGAAACAGTCGCATGACTCATTTATTAATTGATTGACAGAAAATGTATTTGCAACTGCTCCGATAACAAATTAAAGATAAAAAAAGATAAGATTAAAAAAATTGCTCAAGTTATTTTTCCAGCAAAAAAACAAACAAAAAAACAAACAAACATTTGATTACTTTTGAGTCACCTGGGGCTTCAGACAACTGTGATGAACATTTTTGAGAGTGAATGCGCTTCAACTCATTGTGTAATATCTAACTTGTCCACTAGGTGGAGACATTGTTCTAATAAAGTGCAGTACTTGGCTCACAAACACAGTTTCCTCAACAACATTACATCTAACATAGAAGTCCTCATTTATTCTTGTGTTAAACAACATAAAACTATGTAGAAAATCAAGCAGAAAGTAAGAGCACGGTCCAAGTGTTTAATATACGACCTGGTAGTGAAGTATGTGCAAATATTATGGCCAAATCTCAAGAAACCACACATTTTATCTCTCTCCCACAAATATAGGTTAACTTATTTCATGTGACTGTGACCTGCACGCTTGGAGGGTCAGTGATTAGCACAGTCCTAAGAAGTGCCTTTAGAATTTCACACTCATCCTTAACCTAATTTACCCGGAACGCTCTCCTCAAGGAGCTTCGAGACGCTCCTGCCAGCTTCTACTTGTTTATAATTTCTTATGAAAGTTTGCACAATGCAAAACTTTGTGCACTTAGAGGGAATGGAAGGTATTCAAAACACACTGTATATTCCCTAAAACATGTGCTTGCAAGTCTTAAGATAACTCTGGAACAGTTTGAAATGAAGCAACGGGAGCAAAAAAATAAACCTGAGGAAAACAGTTTATGTGTATCTGATGTCAGTGGAATGCATGTGCTATCTGCCGATTCTGTAAGTGTGTCCCCCAACATGAGTTAAAGCAGCTGTAACTACCATTACTTCTTGCTATTACTTCTGCTACCTTACTCTGAGGAACAGTAACTTTGTTTAAATTTAATACAGTCTAAAAATACTTGAAGAGAAATTCATTTTACCTCAACTGATTCACTGACCCAGAGAGATATGTGTTACTTTGTCATAACTGAAGTGCAGAAATCAAAATTAACTAGGACCCAAAACTCTTACTGGAGAGAAAAACTGTGACAGTTCATGTGAAAGACACTGGGTTTTAATATTGACGTCTTGTTTCTCTTTCTGTATTTTGGAGAGATGGCTAAATGTTTGTGTAAAACTTTTCTCTACTGTTTACAAATCTCTACGGCTGGAGGTAAAACTAAATGCCGCCTTCAGGGAATCCCCCTTCTATAGGTGTTTTCACAGACACTGTCAACTATCTAAACTCCATCTAAAAAGGAGAAGACTCACGCTCTACAGTAACATGAGATTGAACAATACTGGATGAAATGGAATTGTTATTCTCCGATATTTACTTTCCTCTCAGCTTTGTTTTGGTCTTAATGACTTCATCCTACAGCCGTTCTTGTTCTCATTTAATAAAAAATAAACGTTAAAAAAATGCATTTAGGAAACATTTAATCAATGACAAAGTAAACAGGATTAAAAATCTTTATTGCCAACTTTTAGTACTTGACAAATTCTGATCCTGTGCGCTGTGGACACGTTTCATACATTTCAATAACCCGCCCAACTTGGAAACAACTCTGCATCTTCCACCCTCTGTGTCTTGTTGTGTCTCCTGCATCTGTGTTTATGCCAATTAATTAGTGTGTGTTTGTTAGTGTGTAGTTGCATGCCTGTATGCGGTGGGTGTGTTTTCTTACCAGTCTTGCATTCCCAACATGACAGGTATGTGTGAGGGACCAGCTGGAAGCATCAAACACCATCACCTTCCCTCCACTCACAGACACCCACAGCTGACCTGAAACACACACACCCACACACACACACACACACACACACACACACACACACACACACACACACACACACACCCACACACACCCACACCCACACACAGCATAATTGTTATTTCTCAATACCTTATCACAAACTTGTTGGCTACAGCTGCCTGCTTTACTCTTTCAGCAAGCAAAGAAGAACTTTGAATATCAGCACCGTCTGAAACTTTGCCAGTGAATTACCATTAAATCAGTTTATATACAGTTTACAAATATAACATTATATATATATATACATTACATATTTAATCACTTTTGTAACAACCTTCATTATAATTTTACACATTAACACTAAAAAACAACTCCATGACTTGTACTTTTAAAATATCAGGAACCACTCAGGAGTTTTCCCAGAGTGACGACTCAACAGTTTGAATGGAAAAACTTCATGTTCAAAACTATTTTTTCTGCAGCCTGACTCCACCCAGGCTTCACCTAACGGTCAGATTTCCTCTAACGTATTCATTGCTATTTAAAAGCAGCACTAGCAGACACAAAGAGAGTGACATCCTGTATTTCACAGGGAGAGAAACAGAGAGGGTCGGTAGGACGTAAGAGAAAGGTTAGTCCTTTGTGGAAACTTGATGTAGAAAGTGAAAGAGAGAGGGAGAAGGGAATGAAGAGGAGAAAGAGAGGAGTGGGGGGGGAGGAGAAGTGAGGTGGCCATGTGCCAAGAATTCAATTCAGTGACCTATATTCACACTAGAGAGAGAGAGACAGGATCTGAATAGCCAGATTTGTTCTTTTCCCCAACAGAAATCCCAAAGAGCTGACTGCTATAGAAGAACTGAGCAGTGTCTGTATATATGTGGACCACTGAGTATGAGTGTGTCAGTGCTGGGGGGTTCAGTGTGCCACCAGCCGGGCATCTAAGTGGCCCCAGATGGTCTGTCCGCTGAAGGACATGGCTTTGTAGTAGTTTTTAAGCTGCTTCTTATCCGTCTTCCTGCCACATAATGTGACAGAGTGTCTGCCCCCCCCCATAATAAAATCTGAGGACTGGATGCAAGGACTGGGATTTCCAGCAGGGTGGCAGATTAAAGGGAAAAACCCAGTATAAAGCGTTGTAAAGCTTCTTGACAAAGAGCCTACAAATCTCTGAAGCTCTACTGGAGGAATGAGACTTTCCTCACTTGGTGTTTTAATGTTGGTGCTGGAGAGAGCTGTCAACAGGCTGATTCAGAGCTTCCATTGGGGTTCAATTCAGTAATTGTGAAAGCCAAAGCACATGATTAAAATCATTTACATATACAGCACTCATCGAACCATTCAGTGGCCCCTCATGCCACGAATGGAAGGTTTGCAAGGTGGGCATTTTCTCTACTCACTTATTTGGGTTTTTCCTTACTTTATCACCAGTCTGTACAGTTCACGTGAGCAACAAAAGAGAGTGGTGAAGTGGCTCCACATTCTTGAAGAATGAATAAGCCATTTTTTCCAAATTAAATGAACTTGGTTTGAACCCTCTGTTCTGTGTTGTAAAGGTCTCGTATGCCTACTACAGCTCATTGCATAACTCAGGATACCCCGGCTGATTGGTCCAAAAAAGGCCTTAGAATTACAGGACAAAACTTGGCCAAAAGTTGAGTGTATTTTTTTACTTTTTTTCCCAGAGAAGAACAGCATAATGTGATATATATTTACTATTGTCAAATGGGATCCTCTCACTTATCCTGTGCTTTCAAATGATTTCACAGCTCCCACTGGAAAGGCCAAATTGTCTATTTATGACTCTTATTTATGAGGAAAGGCGCCCCTCCCTGTATGTTTCTAAAACATTCTAAAGCCAACTTCCTTTTTGTATTTTTCCTATACAGGAAAGAAGTGTTGAGAGCAACTTTATGAGCAGCTTTATGACGGTCTGTCACTCTCTTTGAATGAAACAGACTTGAGTGAGGGAGAGACGATGGCAAAGCAAAGGTCATCTGTGAGTGTATTAATCACTTGGTGTGTATGTCATCGAGCGCGTGTTGGCATCACAGTTTAAACTCTGGATTGTGAAAATGACCTGCTTCTCCAAACAGCCAATCAAATCACAGATTCTGACAATGACCAACCAGAGGGGGAGAGAGAGGGAGAGAGAGCGAGAGAAAGAGAGAGAGAGAGAGAGAGACAGAGAGAGAGAGAGAGAGAGGGAGAGAGAGAGAGAGAGGTGGGAACCTGACACTTGTGGGTTACTTAGTTACAGGATAGACTCAAGAACAATATGTGTGTGTGCGTGTGTGTGTACCTGGTGTGTATAAAAGCACATCCACAGGCTGAGGTTCAGCGAGTTCCAGTGAGGGGTTAATTTTGTGCTTTAGCGTCTCTGCAGTTGTCTTGGGAACCATCATCGGGACTAGAGGCACGGAAAAGATAAGTCACTGCCCTTTACCAGGTGGTGAATGTACAAACATGCACTAAAAAACCCCAAACAGCGATACAAGTCTCCACACAACCTCTGATGAGTCATTAAGGGATACACGCAGTTTCCAAATGATTCCAAACAAAATTTGACTTGAGGGTTTTAAGTAATAGAGAGTCAGTGAACCCTTCCACAGCTCGTGTAAAGTAGCATCGCAGATGGCAAAATTAACGCAAACTAGACAGCATAAAGTAAACTATCAACATCTTCCACTACCTTCCATCTTGATGCGGTCAAAGTGAGCCAGCTTAGAAGCAGCGTAGATGGCTTTACTGCTCTGAAGGCTGCCCACTACTGCATCCATTAATAAAGCATTGGTCAGAGCCTGCTGCATGTACTGGGGGTCCTGGAGAGAAAATGTGCATTTACAAGTTACAATACATTTGACAGGTAGAATATTGTAAACATTACAAAGGACTGAGTGCTTTACAAAAAGGCAAAAGTAAAGAGAATTCACAAAGAAAAGTCAAAATGTGGGTGTTGTGTTTTGTGGTCAAAATTGACCAATTCCTAAACAAATAAAAAAAACTGCAATTAATGGTTATTTTAATTAAGGATTATGGATATTTACTGATCATTTTCCTGATTAATCAATTCATCATTAGTCTATAAAATTTAAGTAACTTGTTTCTTTTATGCAACCAACAGAACAAAAGTCAACTATACTCAATTTACTATGATATATGAAAAATTCTCACATTGAGAATCAGTGCATATTAGAAGGTTAATACTGATACTGATTTAATTTTAAAACTAATGATGCCTTAAAAAGTGTGCTGCAAATTAAATAAGTGCCATCAAGGCTGCCAAATTCTTAGAAAATACTGGAGCTCCTCCACCTTGTCAGATAAGTGGGATATAAATGTGCATCTATAATATACCGGCTGACTGCACAGACGGCAACTGAGGGGAATTGACAGACCTCAGAAAATGTAAATGAGAGAAACGAGAGCAGGAACAGCGAGAGAGAATAAGGACATAAGTGTGAGACAGTTACATCATCTGGTTTCACAAAGGAAGTTTGTGAAACTAGATGATGTAGACTAATGAAGGTCACTGCAGTTCACTTCTCACACACACATAAAGTAATTGATACCTAAATAAAGGCATAGTATGAGTAATAAAGACACGTAATAATTATATTAGTAATACATACTGTACTATTTGATTCTCCCCCTTATCCCTCATATTGGACATACACACACACATGCACACCTTTCAGTTACAGCTTTACCTTGTGTTGGTCAGCCATGTTGCGGCCGGCCCACATCTCTTTGACCATCAGGTTCCAGAGCTCAGTCTCCGTTTTCAGATTGGCCTCGAACGCCTCCTTCCTGCCCCGCACACGCAGCTTCAGGCTGGGGATTCGCAGTAGCAGGAAGGGAGCGGAAGACACCTTCACTTCCTGAAGGGAAAGAGATAAAGACAAGATTCTAGATCCCCGTTTCAGGATCAACATACTCAGAGTGATCCTGGTTCTCTGGCAGCATATTTTGCATTTTTCTCTTCTTTCACTTACTTTAATCACAGTTGTTAACACTCAGGAACACACAAAGATAATCACCCCGCTGAAAGGCCAGCCTGCCGACACTCCATCTTCATATTTCCTTTGGTCTCACCTCTAAATCTCGGTACTGTGCCACCTCCACGTATCCCGGTCGTCCTTCGGTCAGCAGGAAGAGCCGTCGTTGAGTCATGGCGATCTTCCCCACACCACGGCTCGTCTTGACCGAGGAGGAGAGCTTAAAGACGCACTCGCTGGGTTCAATGTGCTCCAACACAGACGCAGGCAGGCACACCTGAAGATCACACAAATACGAGTCAGCAGTCTAAAAGCTTTATTTTCTGCTGATTCATCCTCCGCCATGGTGTGGGACCACGTATCACTGAGAGCTATTTCATTTACCAGTGAAATGTCAAGTCAAATGAACAGCTTTTTATTATGAGTTATTATTGGTATCATTATTAGTATATGGTAGCATTGAGGTGTTACACTGTATGTTACAAGCAAAACATACTGTTTGTACAGACCTCCTGTGCTTCAGCCTCAGTCTCCTTCCAGATGGTGTAAAACACCCTGAACAAGTCTGGACCAATCTGCTTCTGATGACCTGCATAAAACGCACACAAACTTTCAAAAATAGAGCAATACAGGATATGCACAAATTCTCCTGATTCCCCTGAGTCATAACACGCTTGGACGACTAATATTTCAAAACTTTATTTTCATCTTCATTTACCCAGAAATGGTTGACTGAGCTGCCGGTACGGAAATGCACTACTTCACACACACTCATACAGACATCTGTTAGGTGACCAGGCCGACTCTTTTTCTCATTCCAAGTGGTCCAATCTGTCAGTATGCCTGCATAGTGAGTGGCTGGGGGTTGACGTCCTTACTGTATTACAACAATGACTACACACAGTGCAAAGTCCGCGCACTCTCCCACACTCAACCAGCATCCCATACAGACACAGCCCTGTGTTAATGGCCACTGAGAAGTAGTAAAGTCACAATTTAGAAGAGAAATGTCTTTTCTCTTTTGGAGTTAATAATAATAATAATAATTTGTGGATAACAGTACATATTCTGTTTATTTTGTCTCATAGTGTAGTTGTAGGTCCCAGGAAAAACATACATTTTTTAACTGTCTGATTCCTACTTTCAATGATCTATTGCTATGTCTTGGCCAACATCCTGTTTCAGCAAGAAATAAAAACGGAGATAAAATGCTGAATAAAAGGGCACTGGAAACACCGTTTCATTCTGGCTTTAAGTAAACACAGAAGGAAGATGGCTTCAGTAAAATCTCTGTTCATCTCTGTCTTGCTCTTTACTTCTCCAAACAAATACAAAATAATATTCCATAGGGATCCGACCGTCTGTATCTCTATCTCCAGTGCAGGTCAGAAGAGGAAACAAACTCTTGCTCACTATATCCAACAGGATGTAAAAGGCTTTTTCCAATAACATAATGTAGAAAACAAGATAAGCTCTCACTCCAACGTTCTAATCTGCTTTCCAGCACACAATTTTGGCTAAAACTTCAGCTTCTGTAAAAGCACCTCAGCTTGGCTTCTACCAACTCCTTTCCTCTTCTAGTTCTTATCTTAACTTAAATATCCCTCAATACTGGTCATAGCTCAAATATCTTTTCCTTGACTCCTTGCTAACACGATCAATCTGAGTTCAAAGGAATGTTGTCAGGTCACTGCAGCTCTCACAGTGGCAACTACTTGTAACTGGCTGCTCGTGATGTTTGTAATGTCTGAACTGAAGCTCATTTTAATGCCAATGGTGAAAGCATAGACACCTGCCTGTATACATGGCAAAAGGGCTAAGGTATGTAGGTATTTTCATCATGGTATGTAACTGAATATTACAATTAGTCACCAGCTATGTGCCAGTAAATGAAGCCCTGGTTACACCCACAACACCAAACAGGCCTGCATGATAAACTCTCTTTCTTCAAGAAGTAGTGAGGTAATGATTAACCTGAGGAATAAATGTTTGCCTGGAAAAAGGAAGGAGGAGGGGTGTAGCTGAATGCTAATGTGCATATGAGTGTGTGTATGTGTGTGTGTGTGTATGCTGAGACTGTGGAAGTTTGTGAGAAAAGCTCCACAAGGCAACCTGTGTTTCATAATTTCATGGACTGTAGACAAGATTCAGTCATGTACAGTATTCACACCTGTACGCGTGTAAATGCAGGATACTGAAGGACTTACCGACAGTTAGAGCATCAAAGAGTCTGTGTATGGTTCCTTGGTCTTTTACAATCCCAGACTCCTGGACACATTTCACAAATTCCTCCAGCTGCATGTATTTTTTCGGCAGCTGGAAGTGCTTCACGGCACCTTCCTCATACCCGTTGCCATGGCGCGCACGTTCCCGCTCCTGGTCCCTCTTAACCCGGCTGATGAGCCTTTTGAGCTCTGGACGTCTGTCTGCCTGTGGAGAGATTTGAACAATTACTACTACTAGGGCTGTAACCAATGATTATTCTGATAACATAATTAGAGATGAATCAGTTTTTTTCTGTTTAGCCTACAAAGCATCACATTCAGTATCATCAGCTTCATATCGATATTATACCATCTAACAACAGCACAATGACTGACACATTAGTAACCGCAATATACTTAAAGCTCAGAGATTCAGAATTGTGAAATGAGTCATTGATAGCAAATGGTAACCTGACCGTTGAACAGTATATCTGTGGCTCTGAATGTAATTAACTGAAGTAAATCCAGAAAAGAGCGTTACATCTCCATATCACAGTGACTTCATTCATGATGGCCTGGACTGACCTGCAACCGTTCACCTTCTGGCAGAGAGTCGACCAGTGACTTAACCATCTGAGAGGGGAAGATATCTGAGTCCGTCTTATAGAGACTCTGGAAGTCATCCAACGCATCCAGACGCCTGTTGGACACGGTGTTTACCAAACCACGCAGGTAGTGGTACCTGGAAAAGACAGACCCAGAGACATATGGACTGGGTTAGGTGTCCGACAAGGTAAAAGGTTAATTGTAATGTGTAGAAGTCAGTCGGTTTACATAATCGGTGCTGAACTTTATTTATAGACTTCTCTGGTCTGCATCAATGATCACCACCAGCAAATTTGGTTATTTTAATACTGTCAATCATTGCTTAGCGTGACTGTCAAATTAACCTCAAAAATGATTCATACTGTCATCAATCACAACAGTGTAAAAATGTTTAATGTTCAATAACCTCTTTTTCTACTTTCCCCCAGAAAACAATGACAGAGCAAGAAATCTGACAGAAAAGCAGAAAAACAAATTTACTATTTTCTACACTGTGGTCTCAGATTTGCACTAGTTTGCAGTAACAGATTTGTAGCGTAAACAGAAACTAAAGCAAACTAACTAAAGCAAACAAGAGCAAACTGCAAGAGAGCACATACTGCGCAGGATTTTACAGCATTTTTTTAAACTTTAGATTCTGTTTAGCATCAAAGATTTTAGCTTTCTTTATTCTCTCCTCACAGTACCTGGCCAGCAGAGCAGCCTCCTCAGGTGGTGTGGCGTTAATAGCCTTCCCCAGAGAAGACACCATATCAGAATAATAGTTCTGTATATAATGATAGGCCAGAGGCGGGGGAAACTCTGGGAGGCGGAAAACCTTCACAGCTTTCTGAGGAGACTTCAACCCTGGAACGAGACAAATGAAATTTGAAGTTAAATAACTCTTAATTAACTCTCTATCCAACCCGTTTTCCTCCACTACAACTAACCAATATCAGGAGTCATCTTTCTGAGGGAGGCTGGCCTGCTGCAGCTGATGGCAGTCATAGTGTCACTGGCAGGTTGCTCCAGGTTAGGCAGGCTGGCTCCCAGCCTCTTGCTCAGTCTGTTGTCAGGGCTGGTGTAGCTGCTGTAACCAGTCCTGGACAGCTCAGACATGGGGGGACGCCGAGGAGACTCTGTCATCGCACGATTCCTGCAGAAAGACCACGATGCTGAGGTTAAGGTTGGTGCTGACAATGCAGGGTGACAGCAGGTTTAAGTATATTAAATCATGGTCCAAGTCAATATTGATATTGTGACATTTTCATTCATGGGGGGGGGAGGCAAGCTGCGCAATACACTCAGATGATTACAAGACAAACAGATGTAAAGGAAGGTAGAAGATACAGTAAGTCACCCATTCCAGTTATTCAGTATGTGTCTTTATCACATTCCTCACTCTCTCAACACATACAGATTGAAATGCATAAAAACTAAAGGAAAGCTGTGTTTTGTGTTGATTTTATGGCAGCAACAAACTATCAATTACTATTAATTAATTCCTTTCTCAAATAATTGAAAATGCTCATGTTAAGTTCACAGAGCCCAGTGTGACATATTAAATGTCTTGTTTTCCAATCAAACCTCCAGAGGCCAAAGATATTCGATTTAGTATCATAAATCAGCAAATATTTGCTTTTGAGAATCTGAAACCAGAAAACTGATTAATTGGCTAATCTAACTGGCTCAGAGGGTAAAACAGGTTTAGGGCAGTCCTGGAATCAGTGGCAGCCTAAGACAAGTATCCTCATTAAGTGTGTGAGAGGATGGAGGAGGACAGGAAGAAGCTAAGTCATGATTCACTTGTATCCACACTAAGACAGTGGACACCTATCATTAACATTTATGTCAAAATACCTGTTTTAATGTAACAAACAGCGGATATTTGATGTAGAATGCACCTTTATGCCCTCAGTGTTGCCCGATTACCTCTGTCCCTCAGTTATGACATAATAGCAGCCCCATACCTGTATGCATTGTTACGCGTATTCTGCTCCATGCGGCTGAAGGTGTCGCGTTTCCTGTTCAGCCTGTCTCGCAGGAATGAGTGGAAGATATGCGTTTCTAATACCTGGGGAGAAACATGCAGCACAGCCAGTCATGGTTTGTTAGTGTGCGTGTGTGTGTGTGTGTCTTGTAAAGGTGTATGTGCACCTTCTTGTAAAAGCACTGGTCTGCTGGCTCCCTGGTCCTCAGAAACTCCTCACTGTTAAAAACTCTGTGCTCATGGTTTAGAAAGTCCTGGACGCCTCTGACAGAGTGACAAATAACGACAGACAGACACAAGTACATTTAGACAGACAAAACAAGAGGCATGGTGATGAAAACTATTTTATTCTGACTCACTTTGTATCTTACAGACCTATTAACCTGGTGACCAGAGGACACTCACAGCACCCTACCTGAAAATGTTGACCACTAGTTCCAGGGCGATGTTTTGTATCTGTGTGTTCAGTCGTCTCTGCCAGTCTCTCCGTTGGTACCGCAGGGCATTGGCATCGGTGCCCGCTCCGAGGTGACACAGCTCCAAGTCGTAATGAAGCTGGAGACACTCTGCCCTGGACAGACAACCAATAAATATGTAAGAATTATGTAGTAGTATCTAGTATGGCCTTAAATGACTTTCAGTTAATTCAGCATTTTAAACTGTGCTCTCCTTGTAATTGATTTAGCAGGTATATAGTGATTTAAGCTCCAATTGTGTACCAGCTTTGATCCAAGCTGAGGCTCCACTGCAGGTTCTAGTGCCACAGCGATTTCGAGTAAATATTAATTCTGCATAGTAGAGTGTTTCATATGGCTAAGCATGGACTGTTTATGGGTATTAAAGTATTTAAGAGGTTTATTTCAAAGCCACTGAAAAAACAAATCAACAAAAATTGGTTCAGTTTTGTCATAAAACAACTTATCCATTGTCAAAATATTCACAAGAACAAAATAAAAAACAAAAAATTAAGAACAAAACAAAAGAAACAAATTCAACCCAAGATGAAATATGCACATGCAGAAACACAAAATACAAAATGATACAAAATACAACAAACTATAAATAGCATATAACACAAGTAAGCATGTCAGACACTACAGCCAGCAGCCTTTACAATGCCGTGTGTATGTATGTGCGTGTGTATGTGTGTCACCTTGACATAAAGCTCTCAGCTGCTGCCACAGGGATAGCTGGTAAGACAGTGGTTTCAGAACATGACGACTGAATGAAGCCATCATCAATATTCACCAGGATTAGGTCTTCTGTCTCCTGTACACAAGCATGAACACACACACACACACACACACACACACACACACACACACACACACACACTTATTGTAGGTACAATGGGTACAGTTCATTTCTACACAGTCTGACTGGGCCCTGCTCTGTAAGACTAACAGACAGCTACTGTTAACTACATGAAATGAGTTTTTGTAAGACTCTGAATAAAGATGAACGCAGTGGAGAATAAACACTTCACTCACACACTACGCATTTAAACACTACTTGTTTGCTCTCTGAAATGGCCAGGATGTTATAGGGTTATAGTTACAGCAACATTTATCTAGTATTTCCACTGCTTCAGAATATAGCTGAATATGTACAACAATCACTTATGTTAAGTGAACAGCATTATCTTAATATCTCCTCCCTAGCATAGGGAGGAACAACAGTTTTGATATCAACTTGATATCATCTTAAGTCAACATTGATTGCTTCCACCATCTAAAGTCAGATTAGCAGGATATACCAACATGACCTCACAGAAGGCAAGCAATCAAATCAAATCGAGTTTATTCATAAAGCACATTCAAACCAACCAGAGTGCCAGAGGAAGCCAAATGTGTAATCCTTGATGATGATAAAAAACAAAGCCTTTGGCTTTAACATAGACAGTGATACTGGTGCACTCACGGCAGCAACCTCCTCAAAGTGACTGATGTGACAGCCCATTAGGAAGGCAGTCGGAGCCATGAGGAAGTCCAACATTCCTCTCGCCAAGACAGGAACATAGGGCTGCTGCCAGGACAGAGGCTGAGAGAAATGTCAGAACAACAGGAGACAGATGAAAAGATGGATGAAAGAACACGACAGAAAGTAAATTTACTGCCATTGTAAAAAGGTTGTTAGTATTTAAAGGACACGATGTTCCTCTCACACTGACCTGCAGGTACAACAGCAGACTCTCTGCAACCAGAGTGAGTCTAGCCCAGTCGGATGAGAAGAACACCAGCCTCTGCTCTTGAAGAAGGCAGGACAGCACCTGGAGAGAGGGAAGCCTCAGTGTGTCAGCTATACTATGTTTTTTTTGTCCTCTGCTTTAATTATTAGACCGCTCTTAACGTTGTGTGCTACATTACTTCCCATGACAGGCAGTTCCAGTAAATCCGCAAAATCTATAGGCGTAGCAACAGGAAAGTCTTTTATTGATTTACAGTATGGTCAGGACTTGTGCTGCAACTAATGATGATCCATAACTGATCCATAATCAATTAATGAGTGAAATGAATGTGAAAAATGCACACCGCAATTTCCCAGCGCCCAGTTTGAAGATGACATCTTCAAATTGTTTGTCCTGTCCAAGCAACAGTACATTTCCAAAGGAAATTCGATTGCTTGACGACTGATTTAAACTATTGATCCATTATCGAATTGACTGTCAATTAATTTTCATAGGGTCCACTATTGGATTGATTCCTCCCTTCACCTTTGTACCACTAGCTGAATCACTTTAAGACTTCTCCTTGCCATTATAACACATGCTGTACCAGGCTCTGTGTTTTGAATCACCTGGAGGAGTGTTGTGTGCGTGAAACAGAGGAAAGGTAGATGCAGGTCGATGTCGATAACTGGGCTGTCCTGATCGTCCCTGGATGGAAGAACCACCTGAAGAGGACGGAGGCTGAAGGACTAACACACACACACACACACACACACACACACACACACACACATTACTGTAAAGATCTAGCAAACAGGACAGACAAAGAAAGACAGAGCGAAATGGCTTGATGGAGGAAGAAGAAACAAGAAAAGCAAGTGTTTTCTGACCACGTGTAGCTGTCCAGGAGGCGGTAAAGGGACCAGGGACAGCTTGGCTGAAAACTCCTTGATTGTCTCCTCGAAGTCGGCTTGTCTTGCAGGCCGCAGCCCGACCAGGAGACTGAGACGGTGGAGGTGGGAGAGAATTTAGGAGATGTAGAGAAGGGGTTAAAATTTGTCCATCTTAGTGAACAATTAATCAAGGTCAGGTTAATAGACATTATTACCATGACAAGCAGTCTCTCAGAGCATTGTAGTAGGGGAATTTGGAGATGACACACACAGCGAAGGGTGTGTAGAGACGGGTCTTTGATGAATTCCATCTGTGGCCATTCTGGACAACGCCTTCCTGACAGGACTGACAGAGCAATGAGAAACAGCTGTCTGCATTCACTGGATTCAGCATGTTTTTATTTGATATTAGAAGATCATCACAAGTTTTCAACAGTTTGAGGGCGTCTGTTTGTACCTGGACAGCTCTGTAGCACTGCACAACAACCCCGTGGGTTCGGTTCCCAAACAAGTCAGTGAAAACCAGGAAGTGATAACTGTCTTCCCTCTGCTCATTGGCTAACTGAAGACCACCTATAAAGATCAAGAAGATATGGCACTAAAGGGAGCAGAGCAGAGCCATATGTCACATTGTCACAGTGCAAGTCCTCATCCCTGTGGGCGATACTGATGTGTAGTTCACATTGAGGACTTTTAGAAAGATAGTGATCCATGATGGTATCCACAGTGCATCAAGATAGGGGTCAACATGACATTATCTAGTTAGATCAGTAGCAGTGGGCACATATTGCCATGTGTTGAAGAAGTGATATAAAGGATAACAGGCAAATGTTAAACCACTGGAGATTTAGTGAGTTACTAGAGATTATCTTACTAGATGAAAACATGTTGGTATTCTTAAGAGAGGTTTACCTCAGCAGTACGACTGTATCATTAAATTCAAAACAATGTTAATGTTAATGTAATGTCATTGGTGAAACAAACTATACCAGGGAAACAGAGCTGCGGCAAGGCGATGAGGTCCAGATCCTTTGGAACACTGATGTCCTCTGTCGCTGACGTAACTTCAGCACGATTAGCTGTATCTCCATTAGATAATGACTCTACAGCACGATCACGCCTCTTCTGCAAAAATAAAAAAATTATGTATTTTTTATGTATTTTATTTGTAAATCAGACTGTACGCAGATGACTGCTACATGTACCCAAACCTGTATCCACATGTAAGGTGATGGGATGACCAGTCACAAAACAGAAAGAAAATGATTTTCCAAAAACTGTCTCAAACTGGCCATTAATGTCAGAGTTTAGATTTAGAGTTTTATATAAAAACTAAAAACATGAGTATACCTTCTTGATGAAGCTCCTCCTCCTCTGGACACGGCTGAAAGCTGGACCAATCGCCTGACTAGAGTTGGTCTCCTTGGAAACAAAGGGGGGGGCATGGACCTGCAGTACCTCCGCTTCCAGCACGGGGTGTTCGTTTAACTTGCTCTGCTGATGAAGCTGCGACACAGTATGGATTTATTTTTTTCTTTTTGATAATGTAGTAGTGACTATATACATTAATACCCTACACTACATTTATTCTAATGTCTTAATAACTTGTGTTATTATAATTGTACTATCAACTGGGCATGGGTGTAACTAGAAGAAGTTTTGTGTAATTGGACCATTTAATTTGGAAACAGACAATGTTGCTACTTATACTGCAAATAAAATATTGCTTTTTGCATTTTTTCAAACAATAATGTGCGCTTCCTAGATATGATCAGTAGGTGTGATTCAGTGTTTCAAAGAGTTCAGAAATACCTCACACTGCTAAAATAACAATAATCCAGAAATAGAGTCCATGTTGACATCGATGTATAAATGTAGCCAACATCTGTCTGTTTGCTTACTTTGTGTGACAATTTCAATGTGATATTGTGCACATGATTTTGCTTCAGTCTTTGTATATGTATATACAGACCTGGTATACGTCTCGAAGCTTATCAATCGGGGCCCCAACCACTACACATGCCTCCAGCAGTCCAGACGGGAGCTCTGCCATCACACCCAAGCACACACACTGCTACAAACACACACACACTGTGAATTTAGATGAGATATCATTATAAGTTTGAGCTATAGAACAAAATACCATAAGATTAGATAGATAAGATAAAAATTTGTCAACAGTTGTTGTCATTTATACCAAGGGAGCGTTCCCTTTAATGTCTCTGCCAATAGAAAGAATGTTGTAAATCTGTGAGTACAGGTTTATGGCAAAGTTGGATATAAAGGATTGTTGCACTAATGTGAACATTGAACATGTCGATTCAGGTATTTCATTCAGTTTCTCAGACTCTCTGAACTCTCAGGAAAAAAAAGTATTTTATCATGATATACAGATCAGTGTTGTGACGTAAATATAAAGAGAGTGAGATCACTCAACCTTGTTAGAGTTGCAGACAGCCACTTAAAAATAAGACAACCTGATGAATAATGACAATGACAGGAGAGGCTGCGGTGAAGTTTACGATATTTCATGTTTCATGACTCACAACAGATTCCGTAAACAGATGCTGATCTCATCTGAGTTAAAGTTGACCACATAACAAAACTAGAGCTTGAGTAATCTTACTGTAAATTAAAACCAAAACCAGCAGAATCTTGGTTCTATAAGGCATTACACCAACACACACACACACACACACACACACACACCCACACACACACACACACACACCCACACACACACACACACACACCCACACACACACACACACACACCCACACACACACACACACACACACACACAAATCTCTTTGCACAGCTTCCTCCAGATGCATGTCAACACATGTACACACAGTCTCACACTCCTGTGGGCACACTCATACACACACAGCAGATGTTAGGGTTTGGTCACCAGTGCAGTTAACCAGCTTTGTCAACAGGATCAACTGTGCCTGAGAGTGAACACTGAAGAAAACGCTAAAAGCTTTTTTCTGTTGAAAAATAACTCACACTGAATTTGGTTATCATCTTCAGCATAATTAACAGCGATGATAGATGAGCTCAAGGGCTCATTCATCGGCACAGCTATCAAGCTGAGAATGTGTTCTTTTTACAGCTGAAACTAACCGTAATCATTATTATCATTATTGATTAATCTGCAGATTATTTTTTCAGTCTTAAAATGAAAAAAAAAAACAACAAAAAAGTTCCCAGAGGCTAAGGCAACAACTTAAAATGACTTTTGATCAAAAGTCCAATACCCAAAAATTGTTCAATTTACTATCAAAGAACACTGAGAAAACTGTTTAATTTTTGGCATTTTTACTTAAATAAACAACTTTCTATATATTTTTTTATTTTTATTTTTTGCTGGACTATTAAATCAACTGACTGTTTCGGCTCTAGCTCTTTTTTAAAGATATCTTTTGACAGTAATAGTAATATAAAAGTGGATATTGTTATTTCTATATATCGTTATTATTATTCATATTTACTCTAAACTATACTTTATTTCATATAGTGGTCCTGTCATTGATAATGTTTTGGTCGGGTTTATCTCTTAGATTTTTTTTCCAGGTAGGTTTGGTCGAGTTAACATTTGTAATTTTCAGTTTGAACTGAGCTAAGCTACAGAAAGCCACAGTCTTTCCATGTAACCCCTGGTAACTGCAGAAGTGCTCCAGCAGTACACATACAGTACCCTCGCTCAGGTTTCATCAACATAGAGAATTGCTTTCTCTATATCAACCGTACTGCATACCTACCCATCTGTCTATCTGGCTGAAGCAGATCCAATAATAAACATCTGACATGCATTAGTTGCAGCTATAGGCTAAACCCAAGGAACAGCACTGTTTGGTCGTCATCTTTTTCTCAAACTCTCTAACATCTTTCAACTTTCCTTCGATCTTCTCTCTACCCCTCTCTCCTCACACCTCCCTACCTTTTCCCCTTTTTCTACTTTTCACCTACTTTTTAATCCCATCTGTTTTCTCTTTTCTTTGTTTTGCCATTTTCTCTTCTTTCTTCACCTTCGACACGCTTGTTTGCTTTCTTTCTTTCAGTCTTCAGGCCATTCCGGCCTCTGACTAACTACCCTGCTGTGTCACAGAAACACACACACACACACACACACACACACACACACACTCATTTAAGTCATCTATTCCCTGAAAACCTCTAATTTTGTAAACCCTGTGGGGGCGAGCGTGTGTGTTTATGCTGCATATAAACTCAAAAAAGTCCAACAATATAGCAGTTTTTAGAACTATCTTACTCAGACAAAGTGGCAGGGCAGTCTCTTGCAGGCAGACACACATGCACTGAAATGTTTAATAAAATGAATTCATGATGATTCATGATGTCATGAATGTGAGACTGAGACAGACAGAAGGAGAAAAACAGAGAGAATGCATCAAGAAGTTTTGTCCTTCTGAATAAAATCAGCACTTAAACTTAATTCCACACCATTTTGCAAAGATTCTGAAAAAATTACAAGCAGAGAAACAGCACTGAGTGGAATAACTACCATGACTATACCTAATAATAATAATGTAGTTGAGACTTGAGTAAAGAGAGTAGCTTTGAGGAGGTAACCCCATGCTGTGAAATGCATACATCCAGAGGTTGCGCAGGACCTTTAACGAACAAGTTTTGCTTCATATCTCAGAGAGGAAGCTGCTTTGATGAAGTCGGCAATGGCACACACTTGTGCTGGCAAGCAAGTTTTTTACAGAACTGAAAAGACATGTGGAAGAGGGTTTTCTTCCAAAAAAGAAGTGGTTAGGGGACATAACACACTTAAAAAGAGAATAAAGACATTTTAGGAATTCACATATGTGACTTGGGGCAGTAAATTTGCATCACCAGTCCACAAATAGTAATCAGATGGATTTATGCATTGTAAATTGGGACTTTGCCATCTCTGTTGTTCAAATGAGGTTTAAAGTTCTTGTTTGAAGTCAAGTTAGCAATGCTAGACTTTGTAAATACATAGGCCTACCTACTATATTTTGCATTCTGCTCTACAAAACCAGGTACCTTTTTATTATAAATGGGACAGCTTCTCTCTTTTAAATGGCAGTGAAATCACAAACTCAAGGGGAGAGCGGTGCATGTTTGGAGTTTATACTGACACAGGAAGAGGGTGAACTCTTAAAATGGGTGTCATGCCCCCTTTAATGGGCACCAGACAACATTTACTAGGTCCAATGATTCATGACCAGAACCAGCTGACAAAATAAGGGAAGCATGCAGTAGGAAATTAACATATTTTATCAAGACAGTCTTTAAAATATTTTTCAGATTTTTCTTCCCTTTTTGTTCGTAAAACTTTGCACTAAAACATGCCCCTTGAATCAATGTTGACTGGACAGTGAAAACGGAGTCAGCATAATTTTTTAAACACATTATGCAGCTGTTTCTTTTTTTCCCTGAGTTAACGTTATAGTAACTCTAAAACAGGCTGCCACCAAAGCAGATAACGTTTAATATTTTCTTCATTTAATTTAATTTACTAATTTCTATTAACAACGGATATCAACGTATACTTCGTTAAGGAACACGAGACCAACTCGTTGAGATCAGTCGAGCAAAATTCTTGACACAGCAAAGTTAAAAATAAAGGACTGACCTTAAATCACTCGATTTCCATTCCCACGGGCGGACGGTTAAGTTACACTGCTAGCTCCAACTCGCTGTCATGAATCATTTGAACCTCCTAAACGGCACAGTAATGGCTTTAACACTAGCACTAACATATACAGTATACTGTGATTCAACGGTTACCGACACACATGCACACTTTACCGCTGGTCTCTGTCAAACTCGGCGCAGCGCCACGTACAATTGGATTTCCTGTTTTTCAAATTTCAAAATAAAACAATTTTCTTTTGCGTTTCAGTAAGCTGCATTAAGAGTTCTAATAGCGCCATCTACTGTACTTTTATTGTAGCTCACTGCTATGTGGAAAAACAAAAATAAAAACATGATTTCCATTTTGTCTTGACTTTGTAAATATGGATGTACTTAGTTGGCTAATCACATATGAAATAGTTACCTGGAGAAAACCTAGGAGAAAAAAGACATTTCTCAGGATAAAATGTAGACATGTGGCTCTGGATATTGATATAGAGTCCTTAAGCCTTCTTTATGTTTGTTAGTGTGCAGTGTCGGCCAGCCGTGATCGTATAGTGGTTAGTACTCTGCGTTGTGGCCGCAGCAACCCCGGTTCGAATCCGGGTCACGGCATTTTGCTTTTTTCACACTGGTAACGGTTGCAATTTACTTAGGTTCACACTTTTACTCACCACTGTGTCCTTTAAGAGTGTATATTGGAAAGGAGAAAGAAAGCAGAAGTTATCTGTGTTTGTTCAATTAAGAATAATGTAACTATTAGCCTGGAATTACATAGGCTTACTATTGTAATCACATAATAACTATATATATAATAAATTGATAATTGTAGGTGCACTCCAGTTATTTAATAGATAGCTGTTCAGTAAAAACCAAGTAAGTAAGTTGTAAGTAAGTTGTTGGTTATAGCTGTTGTTCCGTATAACTGGGAACACAGCAGGTGGCCGGCCGTGATCGTATAGTGGTCAGTACTCTGCGTTGTGGCCGCAGCAACCCCGGTTCGAATCCGGGTCACGGCAGTCTGTTTTAAAAGAGACAGTTAAACAGAGAGAAAGAGAGAAATTTGATTAAAGTCACCACCAGCTTGACCTTGGCTTCAACCACAGATAATCAAGGACGTGTTAGGAAACATGCTGGCAGTGTAACGGGTTTGTTCCCTCCCTACATCACTGGCACTGTTATCAAAGAGTTCAACTTCCTCTACGACCTCACTAACGTTATGCACAGGTCACAAACAAAATGGTTCAATTCTGTAATGCATTCCAAAACTATTATTACGTATATTCATATTACCTCAGTCAAACTTTTGGAGATAAGAGTCTGATTTGCTGAATTTGTCTCAACGCATTCGCAGTAAGTTACTGGCCAGCCGTGATCGTATAGTGGTTAGTACTCTGCGTTGTGGCCGCAGCAACCCCGGTTCGAATCCGGGTCACGGCAGTTTTTCTTCAGTAGCCTCCGTATTCTCACTCATCATTGTCATTCGGAATTTGAAACTGAGAATCCTATACATGCAAATACAGTTGTCTTACACTCAGTGATCAGACTGTTAGGTAAATTTAACCGAAATTGCAGTCTCACCCCAAATCCTACCCCCATGAATAAATATGTAGGGTTTGGAGAGATGTTGATTCATATGGCCTCTCTGGAGGATATGGTTTGTGCTTCAGCTGAATTTTCGTGCACTACACTAGCAGGTTTCTGATGCTGTGTCCAGCCCAAACTCATGCTGTGCGGAGGTCACAACCAGTAGGAATCCATTCTAGCTGCTATTACATATTCCATGTCATAATACTGTAAGCATCTAACGGGTCACCGGCCAGCCGTGATCGTATAGTGGTTAGTACTCTGCGTTGTGGCCGCAGCAACCCCGGTTCGAATCCGGGTCACGGCACTCTATTTTAAAAGAGAGTCAGCTCAGCAACAGAAAAGTTGAGCACTGGAGTAGTTGTATTCACGGTCAACAGTGTTGGGAGTTAGAGCTTTAAAGTTAAGACCTTAGTAGGCTACTATTACCTAGATCATACCGGTTTTCATAACTTAGGTTAATTGCTCAACACTTTAGTCACCACAAAGGCTGTAGGATGTGATGTAATATTGCATGCCATGGGTGAACGGGAATGGTTAGCGAGCCGAGATCGCAAAGTGGTTTCTACTCTCCGTTTTGGCTGCATCAACATCGGTTCGAATCCGAGTCACAGCAGCTTGTTGTAAACGGGAGATGAGAATAGTAAATACTCAGCAAACACATAACCCTTAAGAAAAGTTCACTAAAGGCCAGAAAATTTGCTGTCGGCTGGGTTTTTACAACCTTTAGCGAACGTTCGCAGAAAAAAATAATGTAAGGCTGCCAGGCAAAGATAAATGAAAATCCATGCCCTTAGGCAACCTAAATATATTGCGATTTCATATAGTGACCACCAGATGTCGTCTTTGAACTTGTGTACAGAAGGGAGAAGCACATACCAGGCGATATAAACTGTATTCCTTTGCAAGAAAGTACTTGGCAGGAGCATTAATAAATGAGAGCATCTAACTGCAGACTACAGGTGAGGGCTTTCACATGAAAATCGTCAGGTTGTCAGTCATGCAACCGGCCAACATACAGTCAAATACCAGGGGGCCTCCGAAGCCCCTGGTTTACTCCATATCAATTTTGGCGTTAATTACAAACTTAAGGAATTTAAAGTACATTATCAGCCAAAATGGCTTCTTTGTAATCATCCAGTCTTGTGCTAGAAAAGTTTCACCTTAGTTATTTTAGTTTATATCGCGTTTATATTCCCAGGTAAATTTTGTTTCATCAAATTGCTTCCAAATAATTGGCCCACAATAATAATAATAACAAAAAAATATATATATATATATATTATTATTATTATAATAATAATAAAATGTGTAAAGTAAAATGTTGAACGCACGACTTTCAATTGCAGTACTTATGTTCTGTGTATTTCTTCCATCACAGGTGTTTTACTTAAGACAGAATACTATGAATAGATTTATTTTTTTTACTATTGTATAATAACATAATAATAAAATATAAAGTATCTACACATCCATTCATTCATGGGTTGCCCGCAGCAAGGATTTCCTCACAGGGAGTAGTTTGACCGTCTCCCCCTTTCTCCCCCGCCCCCTCTCTCCCTCCCTCTCTCTCTCTCTCTCTCTCTCTCTCTCTCTCTCTCTCCCTCCCTCTGTGTGTGTGTGTGTCGCTCCCTGCAGCAGCCATATTGGAATGCTGGATGTGGAGGGGAAGCAGGAACAGGCGACGAGAGGGAGAGAGGGAGACGGGGGGAGATAGACGGGAGTGAAAAAACACTATCTGTAACTACTGCCAGCTCTACGGCTGAAATAACGGATTATTTACCGACTGTTAACAGCTTCTCCTGCCGGTAAAGTCAGCACAAACCTCTCGGACGTCCCCTGGAACAAGTCAACGTGAGTGATGTTTGTGTTTTGGGGATTATTTCAAGAGCTAAAAGAAATTATGGGATGCGTTCGGTTCAACGTTCGTCCTGGCTGGCGTTAGCTGTTTCCTCTCTCAAATATTTGAACTAATTTGTTATTTATTCACTTCACTTCAGTCGGGAAATAACTGATAAGTTAGCTTAGCTTTACAGCACCGTAACTAGGTCGTAGTTTTCCTTTGGGTAACTTGGAGTAGTTGAAAAGAGGAGAGTCCTACTGCCACCAAACTCGTCGCCACAGTCACATGGAGTGAAAGTGGACTAACGTTAACTCTAACCTACGGTAGATGAATCCACCGGATTAACCTACATTTTGCTCCAAAATCTTTGCCTGAAGTGTTTGTTTGTTCCATGTCTCACGCACTGAAGACTCTATGACCACCTGAACTTACTGAACTCTTACTTTCTGTCTTAATGGGCCAGTTATGTTTCATATTCTCATTTCATTTGGATGTGATGGCTAAACCAAAGTAATTGACCCCGTTACGTAGCATTATGTACTTCATGACTGTGTTAATTAGTTTGGTGTATAATGTGATGTTTCTAATCTCTATAATAGGCTTGTAAAGATCATCAGGTGCGTATTAGTCCTGCAGAAGTGAACATCCACACATTTAATTTTGCTAATTAGACCTGAATCAACAATTAATGTAATAATCGATTAGCCAATCAGCAATTTATCAACTTTAAGCAACTATCATTGATCAACTATTATTTATTTTAGTTGTTTATTCAAGCAAAAGTACCACATATTTGCTTTTGCTTTAGTATTTGATTAATAATTGAATATTTTTGGGTTTTGGACTGTTGCTCAGACAACACAAGACATTTGCAGACATGACATTGGGCTCAGGTAACTTTCATAAGGAGTTAACAATTTTTTGATTAATTTAATCCATGGAAAACACACCCTCCTGTCTATGATAAAATAAACAACCCTGAAATTGTTGGTGAAGTTATTTCATATTTCCTTGCATGTTGAATCATTCTCACGTCTTGTCATAAAAAGAGGATTGGTTGAAAAACGTTTTGCCTGAATCTCTTATTGTAAACAAAAGGCACATATCAAGATAAGTAGACACTCAGAGGTTCAATGTGGTTGTCACTGAGCCCTCACAGACACAGTGTGCTCTGTGTTCTGCATTTGCCCAACTGTGTAAGGGGCTGTGGTGCTGAGCCTGCTTTGCCTCTACTTCATATTCCAGATGCAAGAAAATGCTAATGAATTGCAGTATCCTGAGGGCACTGAGGCTTCAGACCTAGAGTACACTAATAGGTGTGCCGTTATGCACATTTATTTACAGTTCTGTGGACAAGCTAAACCTAAAGCAGTATGCTGATGTGATATGATTTTTAGATGCAATGTTTCTTTAAGGCCATGGTTTGAATTTTAGACCCACCTGCGTGTCTTGATTGAGGTATCCTAAATTTAGGGTTAGGGTTGGTTTTAATTTAACACAAGATAATGTAAGATACTTTATTTATGAACCCCTTAAAACAACACAGACTGACAAACCAGTAAGTACTGACAAAAAATAGAATAGACTAAGAATTCTCTGATACATAATACATGCATAGTACATTAGATGTGTAAATATTGCCCATCTTGTAAAATCGCATGTAAGAATAAATAGACGTTATAAAAAAAAATGTCGTCACACTTCTTTTTGGTTCTTTTTCAGTAACCACCAAAGTGGTGGTGTAACAATAAAACTATGGTTGTCTGAATAATAGCTATTCTGGTGAGAAGAAAGTCTTTGCCAGGATGATGTCCTGCAGACACTTCTTCCCTCCCTACAACAAGCCAGAATTGTAATGTTTGTTCTATAGCTTGCTCATTTGAAACACATACCTTCAAACGCTCTCAGCTGTAAAACTGAATTTTCTCACCTATTAATTTAAATGTAATAAACACTGTTTCTGAATTAGAAAACCATCAAACAAGCCATCCCACTGCTAATTAGCTTACCTACTTGACATGCTTCTATTTTGTTCCACTGCGGCTGCATTGATTCAGCTCACTTAGCATGACCAAGTGCGAGGAGTGGTCTTCGACTGTGTGGACAGAGATCACTTTCTGTGGATATTCTGGCAATTTATACAAATGATAAAACAACCTTCAAGTGTGAAGACGAAGATGGTCTGATTTGATTACATTGCACTTCATCCCATCATGTGTATTTCAACCATTTAGTAATGTAAAGCCTACTACTAGTAATACTAATTTGGCATCATAAATGAATGCAGTGTAATCCATTATCTCAAGTAGAGACATTAAGTGTATTTGTGTGTGTGTGTATGTGTGTGTGAGAAACAAGTGGAAAACTATGTTGTTTTGCTTCAATTTCTGATCACGTGGCTCTGAGAAATTCCTCTATATTGACCCTCTGCTTTAGTTTTTAGTGTTTCTTTTATTACTGTAGAAATGTTAATTTAGTAGGCTTTAGTGGTAGTTGATAGTAAGTTGGCAGGAGGAAACGAATACACTCTGCAGAGAGTAAATAGCTACACCTTTCTGACTCGACTCTTACTGTGGCTGGTCTACAGCAGGCTAATACAGGCGTGGTGTGTGTGTGCGCATGTGTGTGTGTGTAAATTGCAGAGCAGTGCAGGAGGCCTGTATTTATAGAAACACTTGACTACACTCAGAGATCTTGCAGAAGCAGTCCACTACATGGCGTAGAGCGCCACTGTTTGTATTCTACTTTCTCTTTTTCATTGTTGCAAGGTTGTCCTCTGTTTTGGTCCATTTATGATATTTCTTTATATTTCTATTCTGTGCAGTTATGTGCCTTGTACTATTCTCAAGTTTTTCCACATCTATTCTAGATAGACAGGCAGACAGAGACGGAGAGAAACTGTAGAGAGAGACAAGAGGGTAACAAAGCCAGCAGTCTAGTGTCAGTAGATTGCAGTACGCGGTGTGACTCATAATGACTCTAACTAGTGATAGCAAACGATGCAGACACATACTGTGTGTGTTGAGGTATGTAGAGGTCCTGAATAAGAGTATGTGTGTCCTTAATATGTTTGTGTCATGAGGAATTCATGATACCAAATGAAGTAATTTGTCTGGGGGGAAAAGAACGACTTTGTACCAGTTTCTTTCCAGTTTGAGCATTTTTGAAATAAGTTGCTTGCTGTTTTCCTAGCAAACACAGTGGCAGTTTTTTCCCCAGTGATTGGCCACATCGTACCTACTGTGTAAATACATGCAGCTGTGAGGAGGTCTAAGCTGTTTTCTCACGTCCTGCACGAATGTATGAATGCTATTTGCAAACTCACCTCAGGAAGGAAAATAACATGAATGAACAGTCGAACTGGGCAACTGGGGTTCTTTGTTCTGCACCAACAACTTCACTCAGAATATGACTAACGGTGTGTGTGAGTGTGTCTATGTGTGTGTGTGTGTGTGTGTGTGTGTGTGTGTGTGTTGTGTGTTGTGGGTGTGTGTGTGTGTGTGGTGTGTGTGTGTGTGTGTGTGTGTGTGTGTGTGTGTGTGTGTGTGTGTGTGTGTGTGTGTGTGTGCAAAAGTACTGGCGTATATATGATCATATGTGTCCTGACTCTATAAATTTAGCTTCTTTCTTCTGTGGAGCTTATTCCCGTGCATCCTCCTGCATGTGGTTTCAGCTGTGGAGGAAAAAGAGTGTATGTGTGTGTGTGTGTGTGTGCTTGCGTGTGCGTGTGTACAGACGGGAGGCTGAACGAAGGTCCATTCCCTTTGCTTCTGGATTGGTTCAGGAAGTAGCCCCCACACCCTTCCATGCAGACACACACAAACACACACACACATACAGAAAGACAGACATACGCACACACAGTCAGAGAGCACTTACTGTACATCCTAAAACATGCTGCGTCCCCCAGGAGCTGAAAGGAAAACGCCTTCTTCCTCTCAGCAGCAGCAGCAACACTACTCAGGCCTCTCTAAGTGTGTGTGTGTGTGTGTGTGTGTGTGTGTGTGTGTGTGTGTGTGTGTGTGTGTGTGTGTGTGTGTGTGTGTGTGTGTGTGCAAGTTTGTACAAGTTTGTACATGCTTGTTTGTGTGTTGCTGTACTGTGATAATGACTGTTTACCCAAGATAACTTGAATAAACATCGTCTTGATTTTGTCGGTTGAAAATATCTTTGTACTCCTTAAAAGTTGGTTTAGCAGCTTCAATGTGTGTGTGTTCTTGTGGTTGCATTTGTGTATTTGTTAATTGAGGTGGAATTTTACTAAGACAGTAATGCCTGGATGGTGGACACCTGCCATTTGCAGTAACCCGAGTGTATGTTTGTATATATATTTGTTGCCTCAACAGGAGTGTGTGGCCGATCCATGTTTTTTTACTGGGTGTCTTAGTGGTCTGTAGTGTAATACTGATCTTGGTAGTGTTTAGAAATAGTGACATAAGAGTCTATATGTCAGCTGTCAAACTCCCCACTGTGGGATTTTCCACAGCATTCTGAAAGGAATTCACTAAATTGTTGTACATACATGGGCCAGGCATTTTGGAGATGACATTTCTGCAGAATAATGCACTGTACGGGAATTTGTATTGGACCCATAAACTAGATTGGTGCATCCTGTTTCTTTTTTATGACCTGAAACTATTGAACTTATGTAGTGTTTGAATCCCCAATACAGTAATAGTTTGTATGAATGTTGTAGTTTACTTTATTGCAATCTGTATACCACTCTGTTCAAGCAGGTGGCAATGTACTTTACAGTATTGCATTTCCCCTGCGGTCAAAGTTATATAATGTCTGCACAATGGAAGACAGTACCATCGCAGGTTTCCTGAGCTTGGCTTACTACAGTTGTTTCAGTATGTGTATGTGTAGATGGACCAGTGTGCAGTGTAGTGTGCTTTCTGTGTGTACTGAAATTTGCTACAATGGCAGGAAATGACATCATAGTTAATGACATGTCACTCCTTGGGGCATGTAGACACAAGGACACACACACGCACACGCACGCACACAC